GAAATCATTTCGCAAGGAGATTTTACAAATGTATAAATTGTTTTAATTGTTTTTAATATGTAGGTAATAGCCGCTTTCATAGATGGCGTTGTAATTAAAATCGTGTCAAATCAGTTTTACTCGATCGTCACAACTTCGTTCCTATCGGGTGTCCCACGACACCACACGGCTTTTTTATTACTTCTTGTTTTTGTGAAATGCCCTTTTTTGTTTTTGACGAAATATTACTTATTTAAATGTCTTAAAAAAGCATATTTAGGACTTTTTGATTTTCAGTGAGGAATCAATATAAAACTGGAGTGCCACATTTGTTTTGTTGAATTTTTTGGATTTCTTTTATAAGCTAGACTTCAGAAAAAAATTAACTACAAATTGAATCACCGATACTGTAAAGAGCACCCACAGTTCATGAAAATGACAAATATTTTTGTATGACAAAAACTTTGGGGGAACTTTTGCTATGAGTGACGAGCAACTTTCACCAAGTGTTTAAAATTTGTTTGAATTGGGTTCTGCTTCATGGTCGACGTTGGATTAACACAGTCCTATGAATAACTCCTTAAAGACAAATAGGTATTATCATCATCATCACAGCCTTTACTAGGATGTATTTAACGAGAATATTTAAACAATCTAAACTAGTTTATAGGAATTACAGAATAGGACTAGAGATTAGAGACTTTAGAACTAAGTCTAAACTATATTATTTAGGCAATATTAAAAGTCAAGATAAGCTACACAGAATTTTAGAGCACTGTTGTCATAATAATTTAAATGAACTGTTAACAAAATTAAATTACTCAATAACTTTGAAACAGGTGATAAAATGAATTGAATTATTAAAACGTCATTATACGATAACAAGAGTAACAATTAATTTTAATGATATTTGTTAGTTTATCATTATCATGTAGGTACTCTTTCATTGAGTAGTAAGTCTTATCAACTATACTCGTATAATCAAGTTATTTATTTCTGATACATTCATACTCTGACTACTTCTGTATGCAACATATATATTTTATTTTGTACTTTAACAGACGTGAAAGAGAGCAGTTTCACATTTTTACATGTACTTTATCACTTGGACGTTGGCTACTTAATTTATCCTTATAAAACCGGCATTGCTATAAAATATAATGATAAAATAGTGAAAGTCCTGATATATTTTAAATAAATAAATTTCAAGAAATGCTTATTACAAAGATAATGAATAAGAATACATCGTTCTCTGTATTTCGGGAATACAGAAAATATTGGTAAAAGTGTAATTTGTCTATATCATGACATACTACATTTGTTTTGGTTCTTGGACCTTTTGGTACATAGATCATTAATCACATATATCGCACTCAATTATACGAGTAAGTCACCTTGTGAACTCTATAATTTTGCGACAGTAAGAAATAAAATATATTATTAATCCAGGTTTTTAAATTACAAAATTAAAATTTGAACTTGTTCGCGTTATCTCAACTATCGATTATATTGTTGTTTCGTGCAATATTTGTATTGAATTTTGGTTATTATATTGTTTTAACTATAATTGTTAATAACGGGTGTTTTTTTAGAGGCGGAGAACTTTAAATTGGTAACACTGTTTTCTGTGACAGCCGATTTGACAGTCCTAAGTTAATTTGAGGTTAGTTTGATATGGCAATGCATCATAGATAGACTCACGCCGGAGCAACGCTTGCAAATTGTTCAAATTTCGAGAACGGTTCGGTTCGAGAAACTCATCGAGCATTACGTGCATTTTATGGTGCACATAATCGTCCATTCCGTCCGCTCACAGTCGAGCGATTAATTCGAGAAACTATGGATCGTTTTCGCAATACGTTTACTCTAAACGATAATACGCATCCCGTAAGACGTCGTACAGTGCGCACACAACTTGCGTTTGATAGTGTGCAGCGCAATGTTGATGATGATCCAAATGTGTCAATCATCGAACATTTGACAAAAGGTTAATTTCACGAAATGCACATGGTAACTGGTCACCTCGGTCATGCGATTTGACGGCTTTAGATTATTTTCTCTGAGGATTTGTAAAGTCGCAAGTCTACGCCGACAAATCACAAACAATTGAGCACTTAGAAGCCAAAATTCGACGCGTCATTGCTGAGATACAGCCTGCTTTACTGAGTATGTGAAAATTGAAAATCCAGATTAAGCCAAGTACACGCAAGCCGCGGCAGCCACATACCCGAAATTATATCCAAACATTAATGTCATAAAATCATCTCTCAAATAAAGTTAATTTCATGAATATTGTAGATATTTTTCTGTTATTTCTTTCAATTTAAAGTTCTCAGCCTCTTAACCCTTTAGTTTATGTTATTATCTGTTGTTATTGTTGAAGTTATCAAACTCGAGTACTGTGGCGTGGCAATGACTGAAAGTTTTCGCAAATATGTTATCACCGAGCGTTTTGTAGCATTCAGTTCTAGTAGAAGTGCTAGTTCAACAGTATTCTTCCAAACGAGATAAATAATCTTAAATGAGGTCATATTCAAGCTATTGCCCATGGCTTGACTTGTGTGGTTATTTCTTATTTCGTGTTTCTAAATTTGAAAATGTTCATCTCTTATTTTTTTAAATATTTCTTAGTGGTTGCTTACAACAAAAGGCATCGCTGCAAAGCAGCTGCCAAAATTTCAAGTTTGTAGTCAGGGTGGTTTAGTCTCTATGATGATGAATCAGTCAGTCAGGGCAAGTATTTTTTTTATATATAAATTATAAGATACGAGTAGCTGCATAAACTTTCATATCATCAGAAAATATAGAAGATTTAATGTCATTCACATATATCGTTAATAGCAGGAGGCCCAAGAGGAAAACTGGACTGAAGACTGGCACCCATCTAGAACGGTAGTTGTTGAGAACTTAAGTCTTGCTCTCCAAAAACGAGGAAAACCACAAAAGCAAGTCACCGTGAATATTTATTTATTTATTTACAACTTTATGCACTTGTGTACATTGGCGGACTTAATGCCCTAGGTATTCTCTACCACCCTTTGGGTGGTGTAGAAATCTGGTAAGGTAGGTGCACTGAGGTTACACTTGTGATATTAGTAGTAAAGTGATAAATAACAAATACAGTTACACACATACATATACAAATATACATACACACAAGTTAAAAATCTAATAATACATTTAGTGACGGAACAATGGAGTGAATTCTTTTTCTGTTTTATCGAAACCTGGTAAAAACACGTTAGGTCTTAATTTACCTATGACTGTAATATGTATGAACATCTGCTGACTACAGAATTTCATAAGTACTAGAGCACAAACTACAGCCTAATCTTGTTTTTTTATTGTTTTTTTTCCTTTGTTAATCTTTAATTTTGTTGATCATGCATCATATTGTCAGTAGATTAGACTTAGATTTAGATATAAATTAGATTAAAGTAATTAAAAGTTTTACTGAACCTTTTGTTTTTATTCCTACTGTCAATTACACGTTATGTTTTTTTTACCCACTAACTTTAAATGTTCAGTTTTTTTTATTTTAGTTCTGTTATACTCCTGTCAATTGATATGATTCTTCCGTCAGATGATGTATCGTATGTTAAATGTTGTGTGCCTCTAATTGCCATACAAAACATGATTACCTAATCATTAGATAGTAATTTCTTTAAGAATATAGTGTACGAGTATGCATGCTGAATGCTGCTCAATAAATAAATAAGTTTCACTTGTAAAATTGATTAATTATATTATTGTTTAATATTATTATTCCATTTTTAAGAAGCTTAACTTGATATGTAATTGGAAACCCCCACGTATTATAATATAATTACGATTAAGTCAATACGTGATAACAAACGTACACACAGGATTACAGTAGTTAGCAACATTCCATATTTAAAACTGTATGGAATGAATGGTTATTACCTAATGAAAAAAAAATTTTGTGTGAGTATCCAGGATGATACTCACACAAAAATTTTTTTGACGCCTCGGGCAACCGAGTGCCGGGCACGCCGTCATCGCGGCGGTAAGACCCGTTATTGAGGATTGGCTCGAGAGGCATTACATAACCCTCTCATACCGGTGGACGCTGGTGATCACCGGGAAGGGATGCTTCGGAGATCACCTGTGTCTGATCCGCAAGGAGCCATCGCCTGAGTGCCACCACTGCGATGGCCGGACCGTGGACATAGCGCTCCACAAGCTGGCAGAATGCCTTGCGTGGGTTGAGCAGGGGCGCGACCGCGTGGCGGCCATCGGAGTGGGAATTCTCTCGCTCGGTAATATGATTGCCGCTATGGTACGGAGCGAGAGTGCGTGTAACTGCGCCGTCTCTTTCTGGGAGCAAGTTATGCTTGCGTAGGAGATGGCGGAGCGGGACCGGGAGAGGTGTAGAGCTCTCCCAGCCCGCCAGATCCAGGAACGGGCCGGGTACCGGAGACGACTCATGCGCCGGAGATCACAGAACGATCTCCGTACTCCATAAGCACAAGCCTTGGGGTAGTAGGTAAGGCCGTCTGTCACCCTAGCAGAAGCAGGCCGGGGTAGTAACGAGACGCGCTGAAAGCACGCTTTTCCGGAGCACAAAAGGGGACATAGAGGTGGACATAGGGGTTCCCACACAGGAGGGGGTCATCTACACGCCGTAGATGACTCGAGGTAGGTCGGGGTACCAGGGATTTCCTTTCTAGGGTACACATGGTATGTTTATCGTTAAACACTTTGGATCGAATGCTAGTAATTTTTGACGAAAATACAAGAAAAACAACAGGGATAAAGTCACAGTCATAAAAACACTTCTTTTGATTTTTTTTCATCCCTTTCCTTCGTTGAGTACATTAAAACTTTTACACTTTGGTTTTGGATCGTTAAATCTAACTTCTATCAAAAATGAAAACTTAATGTATAAAATTTGGACTTCAGAACTTTTTGACTGGACTATTTGGTCAGGCTGAAGAAAAGTACAGAACGGCATTAGGTAAATATTTTATTTTAACCAATAATCCACTTTTAGGAGAAAATCAACCTCGGGCGAAGGGTTGTGCAGAGTTCGTCTCAAAGTGATAGATGCCGGATGGTCTGAAAAAAATAAGCAAGTAATAATTAAAAATAATTGTAACAAGGGCTTTTTTCTACTTGCTAATTATTATTCTTGGACATTTCTTTTGTGAATCACTTCTTCATATTTTCATGTGACATGTTTTATAAACGTATTCGACATTGCTAATAGTATTTTAAATTCTTCTTCTTCTTCAGGTTATACGTGTTCTATTCTATTCAGGGGTGACACGCTGCTGTTATTTTGTTAGGTCATGAAATTTCAGGAATTGACACCACGCCAAACCAGGCTCTATCCTGGGGGAAGCTGCAAACTTCCCCTACTCAATCGCAGCGTGTTGACCCGATCGCGTCGTCTACCATCCCATCCACTACCCTAGCAATTAATCTGCAACCCGCTCTCTGGCGGCCCGTTATTTTTGAAGATAAGGTCTAAAATAAGTCTCTCCTATTCGTTCTCAGCTTAAGCGGATGCACACGTGTCAATGTCATATCCATTTACAATTCCATTCTTGTACTTACTATATAAGTGAAAGTAAGGTCTTTGTTTGTTACGCTTTCAAGTAAAACAGTTTTTTTTTTTACTAAAGGAAAGATACTTTATCAGCGAGTAACATAGGCTACTTTTTACCACGACAACTGAATACATGCGGGTGAAGTCGCGGAAATTAGCTATTTAAGCATAAACAGTATATATAATACATGTATTACGACATGTATAATATTTACTTTGTGTAAAGGTTTTTTAGGCAAAATAATCAACTTACTTCTTTTCGGCGTCGATACCACCGAAGATAGCATCTCTTTCACCATTGCATTCGCCAATTATTGCTTGTTCGTAAGTATTGCACCTGGTGCCGACGAAACGGTTACCTTGAGTCAGTTCTACACTTATTGATTCAGCGTAGAAGACGAAAGACATCTGATGAGAGCATGTTAGGATTTCTGCACAACCATTTTGTCTCGAGCCACCATTGGGGTAAAAGTCGATATCTCCCAGGGGATAATCGTAGCCCTGAATGCCAGCAGTGGTGTGGATTACCTCAACAATTTCGGCGTCAGACTTTGTCAATTGATGAGGGTTGTAAGTCCATCCAACTAGAGCAGGATCTAGAGCTAAAACATTAAATCTACACATTAACATGTGAGGATAATTAATTGTATTGTTTCTGATTTTAAGGAAATATCGAGAACCAAGAATATGAATTTATAATATGCAATAAAGTTAATGTTTCTATACAATAACAGTTTAAACAAAACATTCAAAGTGCAAGCTGGTGAGTGAAGGTCCAAATTCGACCACCCGTCAATTTCTATAAGACCTGATATCACATTATTGTTACTTGTGTCCTTGTTATCGTTTATACCATAGAAATAAACATATACACGTCTATTTATGGATTATCAAACCCAATTTTATAGTCGATAGTTGTCAGACTAAGATGTAATTCAGATTAATGTTGTATATTTTTAAAACCGTTAATTTAACCGTGACTTATCTTCAGTTCTCGTACATAAACATAATTACAGATATTTATGCAAATATATAGTCTCTTTTAACCTACCTACTATATGAGGTAGAGGCCCCAAAACGTTTCTGGCAGCGATACCAGCGACTTGTGCGCCAAGACCTACGCCAACGAACCGCATAAGGCTAACATCCTGCAATCGGCTGACGATAAAAAAATTGATGAAATCGGCTATTATTGCACCGCACTGAGGCGCATTTCCCAGACCCTGGGTATACATGCGGGATCCTACGCTCCAGTCAACAGCAATGACATTCACATCCGCAGATTCTACGTGAGCTGAAATGTCAAACGTTATTTAAAGCAAAAAATATATGTTAACAAAATATATTTTTATGGTGTATATAAGTATTTACTAATTTATAATGTTATATGCTCCTCAACTACCAAAACGTCATTAATTATTATACTCCTGTTTATCCAAAGGTTGCCGGGAAGATATTGCATATTCATTTGCTTAGATACAATAAAGAATACCAACATACATCACATCGCGTTACATCGACAGCCTTTCATAGTCCATTGCTGGACATAGGCCTCTCCTTAGAAAGGGAGTTTTGGCCTACTATACCACGCTGTCCAGATGCGTTGGTATAGGGTTTGTGTCAATTTATTCTTCTTTTTGCAGTTTTGTTGTCCTGCGTAGTTATCTCCCACAGTCAGCTCTTACGACACCCACGGGATGAATAGGAGTGGTGACATTCCGTTTTCTTAATCCTTCACCACACTTATACGTATGTATACGTGTGGTGAAGGATTAAGACTTACGTACGTACTTACGGACTTACATACGTACTTGCTAAAACAATTAAGCAATAAATAACTGTAATATCATACCTTTGACAACAAATGCGTTAAAGTTTCCAGCCACTGTTTCGCCATTAGTATGGATCGTCACAATAGTCCGTTGGAGTGGATGAAAATCACTGTTCATGATACTTTGCATATTTGGAAATATCCGCTGGCTTTGTGGATAAGTCCGGCTGTAAAGATATGAATTACACTATTGGATTAATATTACGCTATTGGCGTTTAAAACTTACCGGATACGAAATGAAAACAAAAGACAGAGTAAATTTTAAAGTTCTGAGAGATTTTTTGAGCGAGATTTCTGAGAGATTGAGGTTTATTTAAATTTTAATGAGATTTATTATACATTCATTACATATTAAATCAATGATAACTGATCAGTAATTCCATAAAACCGTTTGAATGTATGATACTCAGTCATGTTGGATATCGGATTAATTAAAAACACTAAATAATCATTTAATAGCATATAATAAAAAGACTAGTTAAAAAAAATTAAGCCAACCCAAAAAACAATAGTTATTTCAAGAGTTAGAAACAAAAAAATATTTCAAGCTGTACATAGACTTAATTAACACGACTGAAGAGTTTGCTATTTTATATGTTCTGTGAGTGTCTGTGGTACTAAGGACGAAAGGTGAAATTATTTCAATTCCCTCTGCAGGATCCTTTATTTATCTCTCTTCTCGTGGATTATTTTAAGTTCTGCATCTGCATTTACTACATAAAAGCGACCATGAAGCTCTTTGTATTGAAATACCTACCTAATCACTATTCCACCTACAGTTACGCTGTACGTATTGGCTCATTCAAGACGTATTTGATGTTTTGAATTTTTGCAAGACTAATAAAAGCAATTGATTTCTGTATAATTGACTGTAACAACTTTACAAGCTTGTTACTCGGCTTTCTACTTCATAATACGAAACTGTATCTTAAACAGTGAATACGGTGTATGATTTATGAATGAAATGTAGTGTATAGGGTTATGTTTCTTTTTACTAACCTAGTGAACAAATGGAAGGCGACATCTTGGGCGTTCAATTCTAACGCCGTCACTGAAAACAAAATAAATATACATGTACGTAAAGTCTATATTATACATATTTGTTCCACGGTAATCCTTCTATTCTTCATACAACTTTTAAATAAAAGATCAATGAAGATGAATAATTTTGACATAATTATTAGACGTCATTTTATGTTTTGGGTAACTTAAATTTGATTGATGTTTTATACAACTTCGCAGAATCAACTTGTAGGGTACGATCAAGTAGTTTGGTCAGAGAGACTCGCTTTTTTGTGTTTAGTTGCGAACTAGAGAATGCTAGAAAAAATATTAAGTATTATTTGTACTATACCAACTGTACCCTTGTGTACTATAATGTGTTCCAAAAGATTGATAAAAACTGTCCTTAAAGCGTGTTCTATATCATGTCAAAATTTAAGTTCAATCGCAATGGAATAACCAATGCAATAATCGCAGCAAAATACATGTTTTGATAAGTTTACTAATGTATATAATGATAATAACAAATAATATAAGAACTGATTAGCCATCTCTCTCCAAGGTGAAGAGGAAATAAAAAAAAAACGAGATTATACAGTAGTCCCTTAAATTATTTGTTGTGATGACTGTAATTTAAAATCACGCAATTACTTTATGTAAGAACATTCTATTAAAGTAAATATTTATAAACCACGTCTTAAATTGCACTTACTAACTCATTAACTGGACTCACTATGAAACTCATCATGAAATCTGGTAAACTACTGAATCTCTGAAGGGAGGTAGTTTATGTATGACTTTGAGATATCAAGTTAGAACGGGAATTCGCGTCGCGGTTGCGTTACGGAGGTCAGAAAACTTTTATTGGTTATTTATACTATACAATTTAGATAGATGATGTATATTATTTTTAAAATAAATAAAGCCAAAAATGTTTTGACAGTATACCCATGCGATAGAAATGGAGGAATGGACATATTATATTTGTTAATACCTGTAAGTACCCGTTTGACGCAAATAAATAAGAGTATATTTGAAATTAAACTTGAATATACCTGAAATTTTGACGGGAGGCAGTTTGTAGGTAAGGTACATCAACTAATAATTAATTATTCGAAAAAGTCGAATTAATAATTAATTCTAAAGTAATAGGGTATAATAAAGTAATTTTAAAACATTGGAGTATATTAATAGTCTCGTTTTTGGCCCTACCAGAGGATAATGTAAAAGGAAAAAAGTTAGATTTTTTTAAATAGACATCTGAAATTTGTTAAGGAAATCTTTTATACTCGTAGGTACAATACGTCATTTAAGAATTTGTTTTTGTTTACGATACGAAGATTATACACAAGGTGTAAGGGACGTCGTAACGAATAATGAAACAGTACATTCAGACCTGATTTGTTTAAAACTTCTTGATTTCGTGTACCTCCCCGGGACGGGCAATGAAGGCCGTTAATGGGTAGGACTTTGTCTTACAAAAGATTTTATGATATTGGTATATTTTATAAGGAAATTTAAATGTTTCGGCAAATGTTCAATACAATGTGAAATTCATAATTAAGAGTAGCGAGACTTTTTATATAATATGTTCTAATATATAATTGTTTTTCGATTTTTCTGTTCTTTTATGTCCGCTTTGCGTAGCATTAAAAGTCTGTAGTACTGTAATGTAATTTATTTATAACTTTTACATAATATATGTATATTTTTAAATGAATTTTTAATTTAAAAAAATCAGATAAAAGAATAGGACTTATTTCAGTGTAACACGGTATTGATTAATATATTCACATCAATCAAGTTGGATATTAATTTCACATTACTTAAGTATTTTCATTGTAAAAGCTCAGCACCAGTCTTTCAAAATATGCAAGAAAAGTGTTCTTACAAGATTATCACGTGTTTTAAACAAACGTGTTCAAAACACATATGTTTAAAACAAATGCCGCTCAATTTACTTACCGAAGGACGTCGCGCACAGAATTAAAGCACACCTCAGTCCTAACATTTTTCAAAAACTAATTAGTTGAATCATAATAATAACAAATTTATAGATACATTTATCAATAAAACATCTAATCGAAAATAAATTATATCTTGTCAGAAACATAACACCGGAGGTTAATGATTTTCAAGAAAACTTAAAATATATTCATGTACATGTCACTATATCAATTTGACAAATCTGATCTGATAAGTATTACAATCAAGCATTTTTTTTCTTTTATAAATACCGGTATTTCCTGTCACATTTAGCTTAATTAATTGAAAGTGATAAACACTATGTTTAAAATTAATAGCTGTTTACACTCCGTGACTTAATATTTAAAGTACTAAGTCTTCCAAGTACCATTACGTTCATCTATGAGCAAGACTTAGTATATCTTGGCTAACCTAACCACCCACTAACCCACTCGGACACAGCGGAAAATGTTCCACTAGCCCAGATGGGTTTTCAGACTTTTTTCGTCAAACGGTTATCTTATCTTTTATATTTCAATTTATTGACGGTATAGTCCAGCATAAGTTAGGTCACATACGTACTTATAAATTACAGTTCAAATTTTATTTTTATTTTAATATTTTCTAACGCGTGAGACCCATGCTTCAGTTACTTCAGTTGTCAGAGTGATACTATGGCTTAAAAGAAACCAGTGGTTAGCAATTCTTTCGTTGCTTTTACCAAGTGACTGAAGTTATCGGAGCCGGAGTGGGAAGGGGTAGTTATAGGACGTCAACGCACTTGTACGAGTATCTCTTGACTTACATGTGTGCATGGACGGTGGTAGTCACTTACCATCTTCAAACATTAAGATTACCTACATTTATATAAAGATCAGCTGGTTACCGTATACTTATAATATACTGATTCATTTTTAACATGTTCTTAAAGATATTGCATCTCTTTATTGTCATGCGATCAGTACAGTACGTGGGCAATGTTGTTTAACACAGCGCCTGATAAAAACAACTTCGCAATACGTATTGCAACAGCAACGAAGCGCCTGATATAGTGGTAGACGCAAAGACGCATCAGATTCAATTATAGTCGGACATTTGCGAATTGAGTAAAATCATATGTTCTTTTTATATTATATGAATATCAGTTTTCAAAGTTTTTATTTTAAAATAATTTTCCCGCATACTGGAGGGTATCATATGAACGGTTGCGTGTTATTGTGGCTTTTAAGTATGTAATAATATCTATTTATTTGATGAAGATTTATTGGAGCAACAACAGTAGCTTCTCTTTAGCTTCATTTTAGCTTTTACAACTATTTTACTTTGAATGTGTAAGATATGGCATTGCCATACCTGATACAATTAAAAGTACAAGTATTATATAAAGTATATGTATAAGCATATAGCAGACTTTGTTGAAGAGTTATCTGACAAAATCCGGTCCTAACTTACCTATGACAAAGTTGACGAACATAATTTTTTTCCTTATAAACTAAAACCTGTGGTATAACTCGCTCAGGACTTTAAACAATTCGGCACATAAACGTTGTGTATCATTTATTTTCAACTTTATTGGCCTACGGTGGCCATGAAATGAGTGCGCTTAAGGTGGAGATTTCTTATTATGCAGAGAGGCAAATTTTTGTTGTAGACTGTTAGGCTGTCCCTATCCCTAGTAGAAACAGACCTTAGTCGGTGCAACATGCTCCGCTCGCTTGCCTCTGTTTTGGAGGCAGTTGAGACTCCCCGTAACTCGCGGTTTGGTTAACACAAAATGAAATAATGTAGAAGACAGGCTGTACCAAAATCACAACATATTTTAAAATATTAATTTTTGTAAATTGCTAAATCACAAAATTATATTATGTTACAAAATAAGATTTACGCACAGCAAAGACTCGATCGGGTTCACGACCACATGACGCTGTGTTGCCAATGTGACTTGTTGTGAAGCATATGATTTTTCTTATATAAACTTATTACTTCCTTTGGCAAAATATTATTCATAATACGTAGTATTGCTGCTACTAGTAAATTGTGTGTTTTTGTATCTTAAAAAACATTGACTAACATACTAACATACATACACAATACTTAAATAAAATTACAGGAATAATAGGAATATGATGTTTATCATCGCCTATTATTTATTTATTGCTAGAAGTCATTCAGTTTACCTGACTATTTCACTGATATATATCCTTAGAATTTACCTTTAATCCATAAAATTGTGTCCAGAGTAGCAATAATTGTTGTTGACGATAATAAATTATTCACAAACTTTTTGCCTCATTTATGTAATACTCTGTAGTGTGTGTGTGTAATACTATGTATGTAACATTACGTCTTGAAGTGAAAGGTAAATTAAACTAAAGTAGATTTGTTTACTGGCTTCTTTACAGTCATTTGTGCGATCGAGTCTTTACGTCTTTGTTGACTTTGTAAATTCCAAAAGTATTTGAAAAAAATCTGCCGACGTTCTTTAGTTATATTACCACAATTGTTTCTACAAAATCTCTGATCGCGCCTCTCGTCTTCATCATATTTATCAATGACATCGATAAATGCTTCAAGCATTCTAAGCTTTTATCTTTTGCCGATGACATGAAAGTTTTTGCTACTATAGAATCGGTCGCCGATGTGGAGAGACTTCAGTCTGATCTTTTGCGCCTAGATACTTCTTCATAGTCCTTTAATTGTATGAAATCGGATTATACTGCAGTTATAATACAGGTATTATGCAATATAATCTGCACCATATAGTACTATGATATTGTTACAAGCTGTATAAATTTTATTTACCCTCTCTTGCTCATAACTCCGTTACCGATTTAAAGCCGTTGCCACAGTTACATTGGTTTGGATTTGAAACTTGATTAATATTGGTACATGTTATGTACCAATATTAATCAAGTGGTTGTAATTTCACCACCCCTTTTCATCCCATGGGTGTCGTAAGAGTCGACTGAGGGAGCAAACTACGCAGGACAACAGCACTGCAAAGTGAAGGAAAACTTAAAACAAACCCTATACCAACGCGTCTGGCCAACTTGGTATAGTAGGCCAAAACCTTATTTCTAAGGAGAGGCCTATCTCCAGCAGTGGACTAGTAAAGGCTGTTGATGAAAACAGTTACTTGACCATAACGACGTTACTGTAGGCGACTCAAATATCCGGATAGCCTCTAAAAGATTCAGCCGAGTATCGTTAATTTGCCCCTAAGAATTGAAGAGTTCTGTTACTTTGTCGTGGATCCCATAATCAGAATCTAACCAAACTCTCATCAAAGTATCCTTAAAGTACATCCATTCCAATAAAAACAGAATTATCGAAATCGGTTGGCGTGATATTGAGTTATTCGTCTGTTCTTCGCGAACGTACTGAATGCAAATTTAAGACTTATATGGTTTTCTCATGGATGCCACTATCAGAACCAAATTGAAATGAGACCACACGGGAAGCACCAGCTTTCTAATAAAAAAAGAATCATCAAAATCGGTTCAAGTCAAAAGTTCTGAGGTAACAAACATAAAAAAGAAAAACAAAAAATACAGTAGAATTGAGAACCTCCTCCTTTTTTTAAAGTCGGTTAAAAATTAATTACAATCGCCCTGACCTTACCACGTTACATCTGGCGCCAAACGTAAGGCGCGGTGTTCTTAATGCGGTGGCAAGTAAGGGTGGTTCGTTCTTCCTACTACGACTTTATGAATGAGGTGTATGAATTGCCTGATAGCGTTATATTTTTCCTAGGGTATCTTTGAGTGTGTGAGGTATGCAAGTTTACAACGGTTATTAAACTCTTGATCTCTAGGTTCATATTTCATACTTATCACCACAAGATTTCTGATACCCCTATAATAACTGTTTTCAGGGTACCAGAGAAGAGCTGCCTGCTAAGGGGGGAAGAAGAGATTTTTTCCTGAGATAGTCTAACCGTCCATGGTGTTGCATACCATCAAGTGTGTACCCTTCATCCCATACCAGACCACTTTTTTTAAAGACAACTCCCGCATTAGAAATACATCCTGTGTCGCGGGGGACTTTACAAACATGAAACGGACACAAAGAACACCCAGACTCCGAACAACATTTTGTAGATCACACGAAGTGTCGTGCCATGTTGGGTTTGAACCCACAACTCTCGGCATAATAGGAAACGGCGTGCCGACCGCTTAAACCACTACGCCATCCGTGCATTACCATTGGGTTGACGCGCGGCTGGAACAATGATGTTTTGGCATGTCGAACGTATGAGGCGTACACTTCTGCTATGGCAGTAAGTATTATGAAACTTATTTATTTTATAATTCTTTGAAGTGATCCTAATTAACTTATTGTTCTAATTAAAGGTTTTGATAGTTATTTAAAGTAAAAATTATTTATAAATTGCATATATTATTTTTGAGTCCATCTAATCTTTTATCTAGAGATTTCGAATTTCTTATAAAACATAGCATTTATAATAAAATGTAATGGAAATATCTCTATATCTAATTTTATTCGATTAGATTAAATGGATTGATTTCGATCACATATTTTGACCCTGACATGAATGTTCTGAACAGCATATGATACGAATATATAATTGACATTTATATGATTTTAATAATCTTTTTAAAAAGCGAAAATAGGTGGGATTATACCTGCGCCAGTGAAAACTCGTAGATTAAGAGTGCTTCTACACGGTGTAAGCAACTAAAGCTGGCAAAGGCGTGGGTTATTTGCGCCAGTAGCATGCAGGAGTTACTTGCACGTTTGGTTGATATAATGTGCATGCTGCTCGCGCGGGTTCAGCGACTCGCGCATGTAACCCGTGGTTCGCGCGCACCGCGGAGCGTGCGGGTTACATGCGCGGGTGGCTCGCAAAATATTATTATTTGAATTCCAAACACTTTATTGTAAGTGTTTGTTAAGAGCGCGTATAAAGCCAGCAAAATTTAAGAATTCACCCGCGCTCCCCTGCCCGCTCCCCTCACATCGAAAACGATCGCGCGTGTACCTACGCGCTCGCTCGACGCGTATCTTCTGTAGTATACGTATAAT